AAAAAAAACTATTCAAAAATATGATTGCTCCCCTTTGTTTTCTGTTTTACTTCTAGGGAGAAAGTCTACTATGATAAAGGAGAAAAAGTATACTACAGTATTAAAAAAGATAAAATGGCCGGGGGGGGGGGGGTGGGGGTGAAAAACCACCCATTAATCACAGATTAGGCAATTGTAAATGTCTGCCAGACTCGGCAAATTGTTTTCGGATTTATCGGTCGGGAATTTTTTGTATTTTCGGAAAAATGTCCGGAAAAATTTTTGTATGTCAGGGTAAATTTTGCGATCCGTGCTGATACCACTATGCGTTTGGCAATTCCACTAAAACGACGATTAGCCCTTACCTGGTATTTTTGGCTTCTATACAGCAGAGTGCAGAACAATCGGCAATCTTTTTGGAGTCTCTGCATCATTTGTTTGCCTGTGTGTGAGAGTCGTGTCCCGTGCTATTACTAAACGATTGGCCAAAGTGATCAATTTTCCAAAAGGAAACCAACTCCTGGAAGTGATCGAGGGCTATGAGAAAACATGGGGTTTTCCAATGTGTGCAGGGGCTATTCAGTTATTGATGGCACACACACTGCCAATCCTTGCTCCGTGGGAAAGCCATGTAGTGTATGTTAATCGAAAAGGCTATCATAGCATTCTAATGCAGGCTGCGGTCGATTGCAATTACCTCTACAGGGATGTTGTGATTGGATGGCCTGGGAGTATTCACGATGCTCGCGTTTTTTCCAACTGGGCAATTTATAAGAATGGAAATGAGCAAAACCTTTTCCCAAACGACCTAACAAAGGAGATAAATGGAGAAGAAATCCCGCCGTTCATTGTGGCAGATCCAGCTTATCCACTCTTGCCGTGGGTTATAAAAGATTATCCCAACGACAAGAATGCACCTAGGCGTGAATGGGTGTTTAACTATCGACTGAGTCGTGCCAGGGTGACAGTGGAAAATACTTTCGGCAGATGGAAAGGAAGATTTACTCGATTTTCTAAGCGAGTTGACATGGAGGTATCAACCTTGGCATAGGCGTACGGGACGGGGCGGCAGGGGGGAAGCTGCCCCCCCCCAAAAAAAAAATATTACAAAGTCGAAAAGTCGAGCAAATGTTCAACAAAAGTCGGGCAAATGTTCAACAAAAGTCGGGTAAGAGTCGGGCAAAAAGTAGTCAAAGCAATAAAATCTCTCTTAATAATAACGAGTTTGCCCAGTTTGTTGGGCACACAAAGTCAGTTTGGCAATATTCGCTTCACACTCCAGGGCCGTAGGAAGCTCTTTTCGATTGGGGGGGGGCGGCTGAAAGCGAGGGCCGAAGGCCCGAGGAAATTTTTAAATTTAGAGTCTCTAAAATGCCATTTCCTGGACTGTGGGGGAAGATTTAACAGAATTCTGATAGTCAGAAAACAGCGTTTTAGTATGTCAAAATTTACAGGAAAGTATGGGCCAGACTGTAGTATTATAAATGCGCGGCGGGAATTGTCGTCGTAAATGGCAGTTGCGCGGAAATGAAGGCAGAACATTTGAGAAAATTTCGAAAATCTGGAGTCTCTAGATGGTCTGAAATGGCATTTTCAGAGTTTTCTTTCGCAAGACCCAACACGCAAAAGACAAAATAAATCATTAGTTCATCAAAAATGTGCAGATTTTGTGGGATTTTCTTGAAAATGCGCAACAGAAATTCAGCTAAAATTTCTACGCGAGGAACGATCTGGAGTATGAGTAATATCTTCATTCTTTGCAGTTTGTCACAGATTAAATGATAAAGTTTGCATGATTTTGAAAAAAGAATGATTATTAGCAAATTATTGGGGGGGGGGGGCTGCAGCCCCCCAGCCCCCCCCCCGGTTGCTACGGCACTGCACTCGGGCAATATTGAGTTATTATAAAAATAAATGGGACAAATTCTATCAATTTTGCGGGAAATTATGTCTATTCTGTGATGTTTGGGAAAATTTGTTTGATGTTCCAAAAAATGTTGGTATGTCTGAAAAAATTTGTGACCCCTAAAATGGTACACTGACCGAAATTTTTTTGGCGCCGGGGGGGGGGGAGGTCGCCAAAATTAATTGTTCCGGAAAAAAAAATAAATTCGGCGCTGGTATGTGAGCTTCAGAAGAATGACTATTTGCCATGTTGGGAAGAAAACGAAGTTGTCCAAGAGGTGGCGGAAGAAATTGATGATAACGTACTACCTGACACTCACAATATTCGTGAGACATTGGCAAATTATTTCTCAGCATGATAACTCATGCGCTATCTGAAAAGCGTGTATACTTATAATACTGCATCATGTTAAAAAAACCACTTTATTACCAAAGGTATGTGATACGTAAAACAGATACAGTTCTATGCTGTAGACTATTCCACAGTTTAGCCCCTCTATAGATAGGACTTTTTAAAGATATTCAGTCTTAGGTTTGAGTGAGCAATGCATAACTATATATAAGTCACTGAATGATGTTCTTACCGCGTATTGATGTTTTTTAAACAAACAACGGCAAAGTGTTATCTATTTGTTTCTATAAATAATATTAATAAAGTGAAAAACGCTCAACAAGTTTGTACTAAAATTTCGCGACAACGTAGGGTATCGACAACGAGGGGCGACTATTTGCCATTGGACGGCGTGACCATGATTTATATACAAAACATCGCACGTCATTGACCGATGACGCTTCTGAGCGAGCTGTGATTGACGCAACAATATTACGTCAATGGCGTCATCCATCTATAGCCTCGAATGACCATTACTAAAACTGTCTTCAGATCATTACATACAAATTTAAAACAGTTGATAAAACTTTTCTATGCACCTTATTGTCGTTAATCCTCAGGTATGGATTTCGGTTAATGTCGTTATAGCATTGAAAGATGTTACCATCAGACTCATTTCAGTCAAAAAGTACTATATATCTACTATATTTCCACAATTTAACATTTTTGTGAACAAAATAAGAACAGTAAAATCTAACTCTTGAAACAGGGCGCTCATATATAGGGCGGTGCAACGCGCTGATGTCGCGCTGATCGATGAGTGATGCGGAAAAGGACTGGCACGAGCGTGCTTTTCGGCAAAAGTTGACAAGGAGCGTGATTTTTCCTGCTGTTGTATTTTCGCTGTTTTTTCATTAACTACGAAATTCTTGAGGATGTTTTTGCACTGTAACGACGAAGTAGTAACTAGTGTATCGTACGAATGCTTGTTTGGCCTGTATAGTTGAATTTTGAAAGAAATATTGAGGATAATGAATCGGGCTTTTGATAACTTCAATGAAGGGAAATTGTCAAAACAGCATTTGGGCATGTTATCAAGTCGTCCAAACTTCGAAATTCAGTTGATGGTAAAGATTGTAATTATGTGCTTATCTCCAAAAGTTTTCATAAGACTCGGAGTTGAGCAATTGAATATACAGCGTTGGAAAGTGAGGTATTTTTGTGTGTTAAATTTTGCCTCGTTAGACCATTATTTCGCTGCAAAAAAATAAACAACAATTGCATTTTGGCCATGTCATGATTTTTTGTTATTATGTTAACAATTTTCTACGACTTTTAAGGCATTCAATTGAAGTAATTCTGAGCCGTAAACATATTTTACTTCTTGGCCTTTGAATCAAAATACGACTCGCTAGGACGTTTGTTGAGCGCAATAGTCGAAAAAGTTTCGTCCCAACTTTGATCTTTTTTGACCGGCTGGCCATGACAACTTCTCGTAAGGATTCGTTAAAAAAATACAAATTCAAGTTGAGCATTTCTTGATTTTCAACTGAAAAGATCAACTAGTGGCTAAAATTAATTGTGAATTGTATTCTATCGAACGTGAACGATACGTGTACATCCGAAGAGTTTTAAAAACCTTTCACGTCATGCTTCTGGCGAAAACAACCGTTCGCAAGCTTTCGCAAGCGTTTTGAGCAAAAACTCTAAAATATTGGCAGTATTACCATAGGCTGCCCAAAAGTGCGTGTTGAAATTTTTACCCTCGCGCGTGGCGCTCGGGCATTCATCGAGTCTACTCAGTTTATTATTATGACAAGGTTGGCAAGAGTTTTAACGGAAATTTATTACAACGTTACTAGAGTATGAATATTTCGCAAATTACAAACAAAAACAACATAAAATCTACATCATTTCAAACACTGGTAATTTTACTACATTCTCTCAAAGTTTTAACTTCAAAAGTTCATTCTAAGGATGTTAAAAAAGCGAATTATTTTCGGGTTTTTTTCAAAATTTTGTCAAAA